AAAGGGCAAAAACCAAAAACCAACAAAATAAGCAGACAAAAATACAAATATCAATCACCTGGATCACCTGTTGAGAAAGAAAAAAGAGAAAACAAGCAAAGATGAGAGCAACATAACAAACAACATCATCTCAATGAGCTATGTGGATATAACAGCAAATACTAAATATTAAACATTATTGTGCAGCACGTAAAATTGACAGCGCAGAGTGAGCTTTGAGGTAGGAGCCAAAAAGGGTGTAGTTTGTTTGTGTGAGCACCCGGGTGTACACCTGTATTTAAAAGGTTCCTTCATGTAATGATCTGCTAGAGCAGGGGTGGGAACTCCAGGCCTCGAGGGCCGCTGTCCTGCAGGTTTTAGATGTGTCCTTGATCCAACTCAGCTGATTCAAATGGCTAAATGACCTCCTCAACATGTCTTGAAGTTCTCCAGAGGCCTGGTAATGAACTAATCATTTGATTCAGGTGTGTTGACCCAGGGTGAGATCTAAGGACACCGGCCCTCGAGGCCTGGAGTTGCCCACCCCTGTGCTAGAGGGTGTGGTGAGCCATAGCCCCGTCCTCCTGGACATCCAGAATTATGATAATGTTAATGATACTTTGATGAGTCTGGCACTAAAAAAAAATACTAGACTATACTATACTCTATATTGCCAAGAAATTGAACAGTCAAATCAGCCTGAGTTCTACTTTTGGTATTGTGCCCATAAGCAAATGTTAGGGAGGATATTAAACTGCTCTTCTGGCAGAATTGGTAGAATTAATTTAAACTTCTTGGTTTCCAGGCACAAACCTGGCTTTAAAGTGTAGGCCACAAATTTTCAATATGGTTGCAGTCTGAGCCAATCCAGTCTATGAAGCTGTTGTCCAAATCACGGCAGTGAGCAGAGAGCAACTGAGAGACCTGCTGCAGAAGGGGGGGAGCTTTCATAGCTCAGTGGGCCCAGGTGTTGCTCATGCAGTCTATTACTTCAATCAGCTCCTGCAGAGCAAAGCACAAACCACACACAGATATTTATCTCCTACTTCCATGTTTTGTTTTGTTTTTTGTCATTACTGGCTTCAGAGGCTCTTTAGCATAATCTTAACAAG